AGCTCTAATATCAGTTCAGCGTTTGAATCTCTATTATCAAAACCATAGATCATCCCATGGCGGTGTTCTGGCCAAATCTGATCCAGAATAGGCATAGGAAAATATTTAGAAATTATAGTTATATCAGAGCGCTATGATTCTCTACGAACGGCGAGCCTATAGTTAGATAAAATTACCTCTCTGGATCGGGGCCAAGAGAGCCCGGCCCCCATTGGGTATTAGTTGGCGGATCCGGCCGGTGATTGGTGTTTTCCATCTGCGGCCACCATTAATCATGGAGTAATCCGTCATTCTGGACGCGCCGATTCCTCCCCCCGCCGCCAGCGGCCGCCGACCATGCACCGCCCTCGCGTGCTCTCTCGCTCTCTCGCTCTCTCTCTCTCCGAGCCCTCCGACCACGCGCTGCGCTCACGTGCTCTCCCGCTCTCTCCCTTCAAGCTCTCCGACTACGCACTGCTCTTGCATGTCCTCCCTTTCTCTCCCTCTCCCTTTATCCTCATCTCTTTCGTCGTTCCTCCTCGCTTTCTCTCTTCGTCTCTCTTCTTCCTCTCTTGCTATCGGTCTTCGGCTCACATTGCCGTTTTCTCTTTTAAGCAACTATTGGGTAACACAATGTCGGTTTTTTCGAACTTTACCCCATCTGCTGGCATCACCTCGGAAATGATCATGCATTGATGATCGTCGGACAGGCGTCGCCAGCGATGCTCACTAATGCCCCTCATTCTATCTCCCACCCCCCTCCCTCTCACTCTCACGCGCGCGCGCACGCTCTCTCTTTCCGATGCCTTGTCTATCGATCTCCGCATTTGCAAATAGAATGGAAGAAGCGGGGATCCGGGAAATGAGATTCTCCCCGAGTCTCGACCCCCCGAAGTGGCCGGAAGAGATAAGGGACCTCAAGACGCGCCGCGACGCACAGCACGTATATCTTGGACTGGCCACTGATGTAGCTTTGCGGTCAGATCGTAGTTTACGCGCCTATGTAATTGATCGTAGATACCAGAATGGATCCGGCGCCACGGGATGGTAGCTTTTTTCAAACAATGAAGTTTCATGCGTCTCTTCATTCTCTGACGAAATAGCACTGGCAGAGAATGTGTAGCCATGCCACGTTTCAAAGCTCATCGCGGATTGTCTAAGGAAACGCGTCGCATCTCGTCGCGTACCGTTTTATAGAACACAAACGAGTACAGTGGTCATATCAGAGCCCAGGGAGCATGGTGCAACCGGGATTCGACTCCCCTCCCCCTTCCTCCTACGCAAGAGCCGAAGGCACTAACCATCACGCCCCTGTCACTGCATATTTACCGCTTGTGTGGCAACGCGTACAACGCACATTGCAACCTCCACAACACATATTTAAAGCTGTCTAGGTTAAGTGTCACTTCGCACGATGGAAAATATTAGTGATGTCCTTGGCAGACCCCCTGCAGGTTCTACATTTAATCTTGATGGGGCCAGGCTGCAAATGTCACTCTTACAGGACCAAAAACTGAGCCCACAAAGATGACACGATTTTTTGTCATCTTTTTTATCGCTGTGACGTCACAAAGCTCCTTAGCCGTCCTCCTTCCATCCGCCGCGTGCCGACCAACGTGAACTCCTTTAGTGTCAAGGCACGATGCTGTCGGTAATGTGGTGGCGGGCATGCTGTTGACGTCCTCGCGAATGCATTCTCGCCGCACAATGTCACGTGTGAAGCGATCCGGTCACACCATCTCAGGTGTCTTCTTACATGTCTGGCCACACCATACGTCTTCCCAGTAACTCGCTGCATGAGAGATGAGTTTTCAGCACGTGTTTAAAACGAGTCGGCCAAAACATCCTGTTTTTTAGGTATTCCGTCATCGAACGTGGGTATGTATGTGCATACTTATGGACGGTTCTGTGCTTCGAGCATCATAAAGGGGCAGCGATCACGGATAGTGCAGTTTCCTTTGAAGAAAATATCGGGGAAATATAAAAAACTCTATTCGTGCATGATATACAGGCAATATAACATATGAACAAAATTAGATTCACCCAAAATTATTCGTAGTGAGCTACGCAGAAAACTGTAGCATCCCCTGTTTAACCATGAGCTGGCAAAATTCTGAAAAGTGTCGGCTTCAGGAGGATCCCTATCGGAGGCGATGAAGAAAAAGGTGCAGAAGTTGCTCTTGGTCTCCAGCTGTTGAGCCAGAACCTGGACCTGAAGCTGTTGAACCAGAATAGATTCTTTGTGAAATACCAATTTTTCTGTTCCTACAAAATTTACAGCTGGGCATCTTGTTTGCTAGACGAAGTCTCTGAAAACCAAATGTTCGTCACTCAGTGAGCAGCGGCACGAGGCATCAGGCAGAAACAGCTACCTGCGAAGATTACCAGCTCTAGGCCCATGATCGCGCAAGGCTGCTATTGTAAAAGCTCCGACGCTATGGGCACCAGAAACGACGTTTGTGAAGCAACGCACCATCCGTGGCGCGTGTGTGCGCCACAATGGCTGCGGGTGCGCCGTCGGAAGCTACGGCGCTGGGCTTCGTCCCATGGCGTGCGCGTCAAACTGTGACGTAATTTATCGTCAGCTCGCGATATCAGCGGGGAGAAGCTGTGTATCTAATCAGAAAACATGGGCGTAGGAAGCCGCACGCCGCCATCTGACATCCATTTTTTCTTGTTCCCGGCGCCCCCGCCGAGTCCTTGTCTCCAGCCTATTGAAGAAATGCGGTAAACAATCAAAAATTCATCTGGTAGGCCTTATTACGGCGCGGCAGGCCGGGGGTGTGGCGAATTCGGAGCAGGCTGCACTCTCCGGGAGTCGGGAAAACATGGAGGCGCGTGTCGACGGGGCGCCGTTCCAGTTTCTCGCCGCCCGGCGGGACACTCCGGGTCAGGGCACTCCGACCGCTCCGGCGCGGCGCAAAATGGCGGCGGCCGCGGGGCTGGCGACGCCGCTCCAAGAACTCCGGAGAGCTGCGAACGGCGGGACGTGGCGGGCCGGGCAGAAAAACCGGCACCTCAACCGGCTTCCTCCGGCGTCGTGTCGTCCGTCATCATCTTGAGTGAGCGGGCAGAACGGCGGCTGCAGAGCGGCGGGCACTGACAAAGGCTGATGTCATCACCCCTGGGGGCGGCGGCCTGCTGTCGGCAGCTTTGGGCAGCGCGACAAAGGGCGCCGCCTTAAGCACGCTTCCAACCAATTAGCGGGGAGGGGGATCCGCGGGTCGCTATTGGTTTGAGGTTCGAAATTCTGTCAGGATGAAGAACAATGGACGGTGAGCGAATGGAATGCAACCAACGTTGGGTGCGTAAACTGAAATGACTATGAATTGCTGATGATATGGCAAAAATGTGCGGTTCAAAAATGTTTTTGTCGTCCGTCTTTTTTCAAATCAGTCTTGGCCTTGGTCCAAGCTCCAATAACAAATAAATATTCACGTTACGATGACGCAAAAGCGCCGTGATATAGATTTAGTGACTGAATGGTTCAGTTTAAATAGACTATCAAAGGAACCGGACTTTCAGAGCACAGTGGACATCATTTGTGCTGGAAGGAGGAGACAACCCGGGTAACGAAAAACGCTTTTAACGCCAGATGGCCCCAAAACCTGAGACATTGTTGCTTTTTGCGATTGTCTTCGGCTGAATCGCTTCGGACAAAGGCCCTGCCGCAATGCGGATGCTGCCGCCTGGCCTGTGCGGTATGCGCCTCCTGTTGGACTTTTACTAACGCTAAAACTGCAACAACTGCTGCACTGTTGACAAAAGGCTCCTTGAAAAAGGGGAATACTGAATAGTTAAACAAAGCGTGCTGAAGTCCACAGGCAGCGCATTTATAATGACAGAAATTTTGGGATGAGAATCTTCCAGCCGTCCCATAAAAATAAGTTGTTGTTTGCGTTTGGTGCACCAAATTTCATTAAACTCCCCAGGCTTCGCGAAGCACAACAGCTATTGGCTGTCTGTCTGGAATAATTTGTGTCCGGCTACAACACCGGATTTCGACAAACGGGCGCATTTCCCGTCAGAGGAACGTATCATCACTGCCCCACCACCGCGCAACAGCAGCCTTCCACAAGCCTGGTGTACCTCACCAAACGCCAGAACATCACGCTGGAGGTGAAGGGGGGGGAGGGGGTCGGCTTTGGTCCAAGAGGCACACTACACTTCTGGAAAGCTTCTGGGGCTCATTGAGGCGCACCACGCCGGTGGGGCTTCTGGGGTGTGACTAGCTATACCACGCTCCAGAGGTAATTCTGGAGGACGTCTCATGTTGACGGAAGAGGCCTCCATCCTCAGAACCGGTGGAGCGAGGTAGTACTTGCACCAGGAGGTGCAGTAGTTTAGTGAGGTGGGAGGCACCGATTAAATACAATGCTTATGGCGGGGACTGTGAAGCATTAAAAAAACCGCGTTTGGAAAGCAGATTCCATAATTCCAGTGTTCAGGTCGCCAACGAAGACGACCGGAACGAGCCTGCGTGCCTCGGGACAATAGATCCCAGGACTCGCTGTCAGTGAAAAACTCCTCTTGGAGTCCAAATGTTCTGTTCTCTCTTAGAGCATACTTTATAAAACATTTCACCGTAGACCCCATAAGTCCAAACCCCCTACTCATGTGTTGACAACTGGATACAGGTGAGCACACGGTCTTTTCTTAAGGAGGAGGCACTTCCCCGATGTGGCTGAACAGGTGTTCCATTGGCAGCTCCTCCAGAGACCTGCGGTTGTGGGCTGTCATTACGCCTTCTCGTCCTTCCTTGGAGACCCCGATGTTGCGTTTCGGTTCATTGCGTTCAGCAATGTGAATTAGACGGCCGACCCCCGGTTGCAACACATTTGCCAAGGGAAGGGCATGGTTCCGTGGGTCTCCTTCAGTGGGCATGAGGATGCCTTTTTGGAGGCGAGCAGCCTCAAAGCCAATCAACGTTTTCGCGTGCATCCATGCATACTTAGAACTACTGACTGTATTCTGCTATAGTGAGTGACCACGCCATACATCAATGAAGTCTTACGTCTGCATTGAAAGATGACATTTATAACTGGGGAATTGATGTAGCACCAACACGAAGCCATATGTCGTATGCAAAGCGCCCATTCATCAAACAAACACCATACTTGAATCGTCATTCTCTGTGTCGGGAGGATGACAAATCGACCCGAGGAAAACAGGGTCGTGGGCCTGAATAATCGCATCGAACAACCGGTTACCTCTTTCCCAGTGCTTTATGTCTGGCGCAAAAATAAAGCGCATGCAGTCACAGCTACTGCAGCATATGCGCATGTTCTGCCTGCGAGCTGCCAAAAATGCGCGGCCATATATGACTGAGCGACTGGATAATACAGGCGGACATCTTACGAGCATTGAATGTTCTAGACAGTTGCTCGGCAGGCATTGCATGTTCCACGCATGCAATTTTTCCTACAGACGTTTCGAAGACACCGAGTGTCTTTTCAACTCATAGTAGTGCCATAGATAAGAGAGGACAACATGCTACGGACTGGACTGCCGCAGACCGAGTGCGCAGATGCTAAGCGTTCCAGACGGATGTGCGGCGGATGATGAACGTTCCAGACGGGTGCAGAGCAGATGATGAGTGTTCCAGACGGGTGTGCAGCAGACGATGAATGTTCCAGACGGGTATGCAGCAGATGATTGACGTTCCATCACAGGTGTACTGCGAATACGGAGTGTTTCGGACAGGTGTGACGTAGACAACAAGCGTTCCAGACAGATGTAGATAGCGTACGTGTTTAACGCCCCGACATAGGCATAGATACAAACAGTTCGAACAACAACCATTATGCTCCGATGAAGCACCATGCCGAACCATATTCCACGTCTTGTCACCCCAAACAAACTTCCCATTAAGAAAGGCGCAATTCAAGCTTATAACATTTGATCGCCACGTCCCAAGGTACGTTTGGAAGGTATCTTACCAGACATGTGCCCGGATCTCGAGAAAAATTCTAGATCCACACGGATCCTCCGACCAAATGACAGGAAGAGTTCAAAGTTACTGGCGAATAAGAACTCAAAATTCCACAAACAAGACATAGAAAGATTCTGAGGCAATCTTTGAAAGTGATTCCCGCATTCCAAACTTGGGAGGCAAAACTTCATAAAGGGTCCAGGGTCCTGAGTGACCCAACATACAAGACTGCCGTACCTACTCCCAAGATCCTTTGGGGGGGGGGGGGGTATAGCATAGACACAACTCCTTAGCCCAGCAAATCTGACCAGCCTGAACCTGCAAACGTTTTGTCAGGTTGTCCGTTAAGCATGCTTGTTTTGGTGCGGCAGAAATATTGGTATCTTTTGCGTGCATTTTAGGAACATTAGATATAAGGCATCATTTCATTAAGCAAGCAAATATCCCCACCATGCCTAGAACGTCCAGTATGAGAAGGGGCGCAATCTCTCATACCTCTGAACTTTAACTGGCCCGATGGCATTGTATGTGGAAGTAATTGACTTAAAGACGTGACAAACTATCGTCCTGACATACTAACACCTCTGATCGTGTCACAGAAACCATCAGCAAAGCATTTGCGGGCGGCACTGAAAAGGTACATAAAGGTATCAAATAAATCAAAATAAACAAACTTGGGGGCGCGCTCGCATGCACACACATATCAACCAAAGAACAATAGCTACTGCGGCGCATCTCATTATAATGCATCATGGTCACATCATGCTCATTATAATGCATCATGGTCACATGAAGGGATCTTTGCAGTCTTGCAAGTTGCATTCCACTTATTGTGATGGATCTGAATTATGATAGCCGAATACTCCTGAAATCGATTACAGACCAAGGATGCATAGCAGATACCGCGATTTGCGCAGAAGGCTTTAATCCTATTGTAATTTAGGTGCAGCCTAAATCTTGAAGCTGGAAAATTTTGTCATACTTTGGCCAGCCTGAAGGTTACTTTGAAAATTTATGCATCGCCGAATGAAAGCAAAAGTTTGATCCTTTGGCAAAGTTCTGAAACCAATCTAAGGTACCAGAAGTTTCAGGTCTCAGTAGTTTCAAAAAAGTTCCGAGACTCCAAAGAAACTCCCACCAAATTTTGAAATGTATCCTGAACCACAGAAAATCCTTCAACAAAATTTCGAAGTAGCTCCTCCATCCGGAAATATCTGGGATCTGCTACCCTGGTTACCATCTCGAGATCTGTTTTTCGATCTTGCCACACGCCTGTATGCTAGTTTCATCCCTCCGTTATCTTTTTCAATTGCTCCAAAGTAGAAATATTCAATGCAGGTAGTCCCCTTCAGATTCAATAGCTAATACAAAATTATTTAGATACAACACAAGTTGCAGTTCTGCCTATTCAAACCGACTTCTGTCATTCAATTGCCACTTTTCTTACTCCTTGCACTTATTATCCTAGGTATCCAATGCTGCAAATGTTTTCAACATTGTATTTTTCTGCCGTCATTGTTTTCAAGAAACTTAAAATGACTGAAAAGTTGGATATGTCTGGCCGCAAATGAATATGATATATGAGCAGCTACTTTTAAATAGCCACCAGAAAAGATCCGAGAAGAATACAGATGAAGTTATCCAACTTTAGGTGCGCATTACACGCATGTCATAAGATCCTAAATTATTCACTGAAATGGTACTCATTTAAATCCGCAGCCCGTTGGGGGCAATGTCTCTGGCTTCATACATGCATATACCACTCACATATTTTTGAAAGGTGTGTACCATAATCTTGTCCACATGCATATGCAATTCTGGAGTGCTGTTTTACCTTTACACCATTTTATGAACACATGAAGGTATGTACCTTGGTTTTCCACTAATAAAAGTTTTCCGTAAAAAGTTGGCACGTGTGTATGTGTGTATGATGCGTGCTCAGACATTCATAAAAAGGAAAGGTTTAAACGTACTAAAATGGACCGTGGGAGGTCGTTTCAACGGCGAAAAGCGCACCGTCCGGCAGATTTCGTTTGCGGCCGTCTCTTACAGAGCAGATTTTCGGCGTGGAGTCGGCTCCTGGTCCGCAGCCAGGGCGCCGGGCGGACCGCTGCCGAGGGAGACGCGTCATTTTTTAGGATGCGGGCAGATGCCGCCTGGCCTAGTCGCCGCCAGCCAGACATGATCGATGATCTTTTGTAATTGGCACCGGCCTGAAGACATATGGCGACACTGAATATTTGGGGAGATTGGCTGTGCTTGGTCGGAGCTCCGGTTGAATAGTTTCGAACGGTCGTCCGAGGCGGAGACCCGGAGTCCGGGGACGAAGTTTGGCGCTACGGCGGACGGGAGAAGGGCAGAGGCTGAAATAGAGCGTGTCGGGCAGACTGTTTGCTGGCAACACCCGGGATCGTGCCAAACATATCAACAGTGTCATGTTAATGACCTGATAACTGATGACCTAAATATCGAGGACAGCAGTGACTAGCAGGATGATGTGCAAGCATCTGCAACAACTCCGCAGTGACAAGCGCATAATTGGGGTTGGTTTGTTTTTGCATAACAGCATATGGTATCACTTACGCTGCTGCAAGTGTTCCACAGCTCTGCAACCTTAACCAGTGCAATCTTCGTATCTTGCTGGTCCCGGAGTCTCAAAAAGTCAGGACAGAGAGTGAAACGACGACATCGCCACCAGCACTCCAGTCGGATGCATCAGCACCACACCGCGACACACAAAAAATCGCATCGCAACGCACGGACGGAACCTGCAATACCGCCCGAACTTCACCGCGATAAAAAGACCCCGTCGTCCGGCAGCGCGGGCCATCCGTCTTCATCGCCGCTTGTCCCCGCGCCGCATTCTCTATCCATCACTCGCCGCGCCGCCGAAACCGGCGCGCCCGGCGTCCGGCTCTGGCCCCACCGGGCTCTCCGCCGGCGCGACCTGCCGCGCACAGGCCGGTGCTTGTGGTGGCGTCCCGCGCTCTCGCCGACGGCGACCCCGGAGGCCCGCCGGGCGCACAGCTTGCTCCGGCCCGGGCGTGTTTGAGGCGCCGGTCGCGCCCGCCGACCGCCGCTTGAGGTGCCGCCCCGAAGATAAATGGTGGCGAGGATTTTCGTAACACAACACCAACAAACAGGCGCCCAAAATAAGTGCACGAGATCTGCGGCACGTGGGTGAAATCAGCGCCCATGGCCGGCGCCTGCGCGGCCGAGCAGGCGGCGGCGGCGAGGGGCACGTGCCAGTGAGGCGACCGCACTGGACTTGGGGACGATTTCTCACAGTGGCGGTCATCAGTTGCCGTCTGTCATCAGGTGACACTCTTGAAAAGCCGCTTCAAAGTGGGCGCCAAGAGGTTGCCTTAATTATGTCTGGGAACGTGATGACGGAATGGTCTTCAAGGGAAAGGTCCGATGGGTGCGCAATGCACGATGCAGCCAAGCTGGGATCGAGCCTGTGATTTATCGTTCGGTGGCTGAGATCGATATAGCCGTCATAATTACTACCTTAAAATATCTATGAACATGCCTGCATGGCTTTCCAGGAAGGCGGGCAGCAACGCTGAACGACATTCCTGTTCATATTAGAAGAATTCGGGACAACATAAACCAGTTGTGTCTTAGATACCTAAAACGCTATGCCGACCCCCTCCGATTTATGTGGTGTCTTGCCGAAAGGTTTGCACCTTACGCAGCTGTGATTCTTTTTAAGTCAAAACATAAAAGCGTTTATCTTTCAGTTTGGAGGTATCTGTTTCGTTGCAACACTTGCTTTTTGGCACAAACTCAGTTAAAATTCTTGAACTAAATGATCGCAAAACTTCAAGAATCACCCGATCTCTGCCGCCAGCATCTTCATTCCTGCTAGATTATATACTAGTGAGCCTTACGGGCTCCGAGACATTCCGACGAAGCATTAAACTATTTACCTTGTCCGCTTGGTTTGGACCGGGAAGGTAGCCTGGTCGTTCCTGGAAGGTTTGTCCAAGGCTAGAACAAAAGCCTGGAAAATCGCTTGTAATGAGGCACTGAGCTGAAAGTACTCACATATTCGACATGCCGTGTGAAAATCAGTACAATATCGCACTCAGTTTTGCTTGCAGTCCAGCTCATTTCAAGCGGCATCATTTTGCAACACGACCCCTGACTTTGTTCAAACAAGCGATGCACATTAATAGCTGGCATTGGTACGACACACAGGAGCCTTGTCTGGGGATAAATTTTAGAACCCAGGCCTTGTGCTGTTTGCAAAACCTCTGCTGTCACATGCATTGTGTCTCATGTTTCTGAACGACCAAAGATCTGAAAGAGGTATATGCGAAAAATAGGCTGTGCGCTAGCCACTGCTTGTGGGGTTTCATACAAAACCGTTGATCTATGCAAAAGGAGCATGTTTATGACGTCAGCATCCATCACGGACCGACAACGGCGGCTTTTTGTACATGCAGACACCTTCTAGTGATGTGGTCATGCTTTGGCATCATGAGATCTTCCCGGTTAACTCAAGCAACAACTCGTGTCATGCTTCTCCACGTCCTTAAGTAGAAATAAATCTGACAAACCAATGCATGTATGGGGAAATTTCAAAAAAACAAAATATCTGCTTATCTCATTCAGCACTTTCGAGCGACATCTGGTCTTCTCCGTTTCGACATGCGATGTCGCTCCAGGCATGGCTGAGCCTGATGGTCTTATCCCTTAAACTCGTGCACCCCTTTCCCAGCAATGCGTTTCGAGAGGCTCAAATCGCTCAGCACTATCACTAGTTCACGGCATGTGTCTCACGTTTGTCCACACTGCGCAGGCCTTGGGTGACGGCATTCTAATTTCCAACAGTGTTCATTGTTCCATGCATGAAACAACTCACCGGTCACAAAGCGTTTAATTGCAGCAGCTACCTATCAGAGCCTACCTACCTCAGCCTGCCATAGTGTACGTTTAATAAGTCATATTCGGAGAATGGCGTTCGCATTTATTCCATAGCGTTTTTACCTTGTGATCTCCCGGAGCACGTGCTGCGCATCCCCTCCCACGTTTGTGATATGCATAATCACACGTGTGGATAAATATTGACAAGGCAAACATCGGTGCAAGCACGTAAAAACAAATTAATCGAGAACATACGATTATATTTCATGACGTGCAAAAACGTCGCATGCCTTCGGCGGACCAAACTGAGTTTCTTGAGACCTTTCGACCAGCCTCCCCCCCCCCCCCCCCCCCCCATCATTGCGGAATCCTGCACGAGTCCTTGCATCTTGAGGTAAAGTCTTACCGACAGGTATTTCAGCGTTGCAAGGTTTGGTTTTCAGCTGAACCCTGTCAATTTATTTCTTTATTTTATCAGAGCACACGTTTCTATGCGCATAGCTTTACGGCTCATTTGATGTCATCTGCAACATAAAGACACCGTTTGTCTCGTTTTCAGTTATACCTTGTCCACAAAAGCATAGTTCTGCCTACCAGCAAACGATTATCATGCTGTGCTAGATTTTGCAGGATAGTGTGAGACGGGATGTCTAAGCATTTGTTTACGACCTTGGTGTGTTTGCTATACATACCTCCCATTTTCAACCACGTTTATTGAAACCCAACCGTCGAGCTCTTCGTCACGGTCGGTCACAAGGCACAAGACTCACGTACTTAGAGGATGGCATGCGCCGAACGCATCTCCCGGTACCTCCTCCCTCGGCAGGGTATCACACATTCACTCACGGCGTTGCTAGGACGGCAGCATGAGCCCCTGTGTTATGGCAATTGCCTTTGCCGGCACGTATGAAAGAAGATCTTACTCTTGTCGCCCCAAAAATCCAGACTCACGAAGACCTCGCTGCTGTATCCTGCTGAGCCGGACGCGGCTGGCCCGGCGGTGACCCCCGTGACCCGGACGTCCGGTCCGGCGGCTGGCGCAGGGCCGGTCCGCGCCACCTCCGACCTGCCGCGAGGCCGCCGCCGGCCCGGCGACGGTTCGTCACCGTCGACGCCCGTCGCGACCGTGATTAACGACGCCGACGGGTCGCGTCTGGACGAAACACGTCGGCCATCGGTCACCGGCGACGCGCGTCGACCGCTCCCGCATGCATTTGGCCTCGCGGGCGGGACGCGCCGCGCCTGGCCCGAGCGAGGCGCGCCGCGCCCGGCCCGAGCGCGGAGCGGCGTGTCGCTCCGGCCCGGCGTCGCGGTGCCCGGCGCCATCCTGGCGGTGTGCGCCAACGTCCGAGCTGCGCTTGCAGGTGGCGATGTCGGTGCAAGCTCAGGTGCGGATGCTGGGGAAAGGTGGACATGGATAGTGCTGCTGTGCTGTTGTGCTAGTGCTGCTGTGTCATTTGGAGTGTGTTGCGGTGCGGTCGCAGTCAAGTTGAGCTGCTGTAGGCCAGAGATACTCCGGGTAGGGGATGAAAGGAGTCTTACTGATGACCAAGCAGCTGGGCTCCAGACAAGAAAACAGCGATCAATTGGTCGGCACCTTTGAACGCTCGCTGGAGCAGAACACCACATGCCGGAAATCGTGGCATTTCCTGCGAAACCAAAACAATGGATGGGGACGACCTTGGCACCTAGCGTGCACCTGCATGGGTTATACCTACATGCTACATTCACCCTGCATGTTTGACCTCATCCAACCAAATTTCACAGCCGTCTTATATTTTGTTTGATTGTTATGAAGTCTTTCGGCCTTTGTAGCCGGCGCGACCGAAAAAAACAGCCATACTGGCCTCGAGATGGAATGCAGTGATTGGTTTGTTGATTTTTGAGTGGTTTATTTGGAACAAGTGTGAGGACATGAACACGGTTTCAGAAAATACGCAAGGCGCTGGCATCCACGTCAGCTTTAAGTTTGGAGTGTGATTGAGAATGGTTTCATTGCGCAATACCACTGTCGGCAAGCAGGGTATGCTCCAGCAAGATAGCTCATTCCATCGTCCTATCATCAAGGCAGTATCCGAGCCTTAGGCGAGAGGTCACCGCACCGTCCACCGTCGGAACTGTCCCCAAAGGAGAGGTCACCCCACCGTCCCATCCCCAAACCATCCTCCAACGACAGAGGTCACCTCGCCGTCCTTCCACCAGTCAGTCTCCAGTGCGAGACGTCACCCGCCGTCCTGCCATCAGCCAGTCTCCAGTGCGAGACGTCACCCGCCGTCCTGCCATCAGCCAGTCTCCAGTGCGCGAGGTCACCCGCCGTCCTTCCATCAGCCAGTCTTCAGTGCGAGAGGTCACCCGCCGTCCTTCCATCAGCCAGTCTCCAGTGCGCGAGGTCACCCGCCGTCCTTCCATCAGCCAGTCTTCAGTGCGAGAGGTCACCCGCCGTCCTTCCATCAGCCAGCCTCCAGTGCGAGAGGTCACCCGCCGTCCTTCCATCAGCCAGTCTCCAGTGCGAGAGGTCACCCGCCGTCCTTCCATCAGCCAGTCTCCAGTGCGAGAGGTCACCCGCCGTCCTGCCATCAGTCAGTCTCCAGTGCGAGAGGTCACCCGCCATCCTTCCATCAGCCAGTCTCCAGTGCGAGAGGTCACCCGCCGTCCTGCGGCCGCCGCCGGGCTCGCCCCGGGCCGGCCGACCGCCGGACCGTATCGGCGTCCGATGTGAAATTAATGCCGCCACCGCGCCATTACAGCCGTGCCGAAATTGGGTTTAAAATGAGCGGCGGCGGCCGCGACGCGCGGCCATATGTCTGACGGCCTTTGAAGGAAGCGCCGCGCCGCGTCTCGCGCTTCCGCTTGTCGGCGAAACCGGCGCGCCGCGCCGGCCGGCTGCGCTATTGTTGTCGCGCCATTGTTTCTCATGCGTAACAACGTATTTATTTTATCATTACT